CCACATGGCTTGTTGTTCTCAGGTAGAAAGAAGTCCCAAAATAAAGAGTACAAAGTTGGTTAAGGTGGCTCCATATCACCTGGGCTGTACCTATCTGTTTCAAACATCCACAGCATGTTTGTTGCTTGGTAGTTGCAAACCCCTTGCTATCTCCAGTATCATGTCTGCATTCCAAGAAGGAGAAATGAATGGTGAGCAGACATTTGTACAATCCAAATGTGTAAAAAAAAAAAAAAAAGCCTGAGTTTATACCTAGTGATTTATGCTTATATCTCACTGGCCAGAATATATCACAGAGCCATCCCTAGCTGCAAGGGAAGCTGGAAAATATAGTTTTTGAAGTAGGGATATTACTGCTCCAAATAAAAGTGGGTTCTGGAAGTAAGCATAAATAAAATAAATATTATGATAGCATTTAGCAGGGTCTGCCACAGCTACTCAAAGAACTTTTCAATCATGTCAAAATTATCCTATTAGTTTAGTAACTTGGGAGACAGAGGAAGGGTACTGATTACACCTAATAATTGAGACCCAATTTCCAGTTTCCAACAGTCCATGTTAAATAATTTAAGGTGAATGAACTCTAAACAAAAATGTGTTTTTATCATATTAGCTTTACATACATACGCACACACATTCACACATATATATGTATACATTTAATATATATAAAATAAGTTACAGAGTTACAAGTGTTAGAGCATTTGAAATTTTTTAGGTATTTTATGTAGGACAATTAATAGGTAATTCAATGAGGTATCAAACAGACTGTATTTATTCCTGCTTTAAAATGCAAATAATTTAATGTGAGGCAAATCATTTATAATTCTTGTAAAAACAAAGTAAATGCTTTACCAAAGCAAAATTTTTTTCATAGTTCTTCAGAAGAACCCTCAATAATTTACAGAAATTTTAGACCCATTGAATTAGGCTCTGATGATACTGGGGAAGGTAACCTATTCGTTGCTCCTTAACAAGCCCACATAAGACCATGTGTGGTGGCTTATGCCCGTAATCCTAGATTTTGGGAGGCTGAGGTGGGTGGATCACCTGAGGTCAGGAGTTCGACACCATCCCAGCCAACATGGCGAAACCCTGTTCCTACTAGAAATACAAAAATTAACTGGTTGTGGTGGTACCTGCTGTAATCCCAGCTACTCAGGAGGCTGAGGCAGGAGAATAGCCGGAACCTGGGAGGTGGAGGCTTCAGTGAGCTGAGATCGCACCACCGCACTCCAGCCTGGGAGACAGAGCACTACTCCATCTCAATCAATCAATCAATTAAAAAAACCCACATAAAATTGACCGTCACTGAACTTTGTTCATTTCTGTATCTACCATATGTATTAATCGTTATCACTTTCTTTGTGCCAGGCACTTACAAAAACCAAGTGAAATAGGTGCTATTGATTTAATTTTTTATTTAATAAATCGATAAATTCTAAACCTGCTTGTTGAAAATGTAAAGGAATAAAAAGCATAAATCTCCAATGTTAACATTAGCTGGTAAATACGAGGTCTTACATGGATACTAGCCAGGTTTGGTAACTGAACAGAAAAGGTACTATGGGATTGTATTCTGTAATGGATAAGGCAGCACAGCACTGGAATTACAAGCATAGACTGGATTTGAATCCCGACTTTCTCACTTAATAGTTGTAATCCTGGGAAAACTGCCTAACATATCTATGCCTTAATTTCCCTATTTGAAAATGCAGATAATAGTCCTCCTCAAATGGTGCTAAAACTAAATTGATTAGTATTAGTAAAATATTTAGAGCAGTGCCATAGTAAGAACTCTATTATCTGCTGTTGTGTAACAAATTAATCCTAAGCTTAGTACTTTAAAATAACAGAAATGAATGATCTCACATTTTCTGTGGGTCAGGAACCTGGTAGTTCAAACTGTTTATAATTCTTGCCAAAACAAGAATTAAGGTGTCTCATGACATGGCATCAAAGAGTCAACTGTGGCTGCATCATCTCAAGACTTAGTAAGGCTGGAGGGTTCATTTCTTTTTTTTTCTTTTCTTTTTTTTTTTTTTGAGACGGAGTCTGGCTCTGTCGCCCAGGCTGGAGTGCAGTGGCCAGATCTCAGCTCACCGCAAGTTCCACCTCCCGGGCTTACGCCATTCTCCTGCCTCAGCCTCCCGAGTAGCTGAGACTACAGGCGCCCGCCACCTCGCCCGGCTAGTTTTTTGTATTTTTTTTAGTAGAGACGGGGTTTCACCGGGTTAGCCAGGATGGTCTCGATCTCCTGGCTTGTGATCCGCCCGTCTCGGCCTCCCAAAGTGCTGGGATTACAGGCTTGAGCCACCGCGCCCCGCCGGGTTCATTTCAAGAAGGCTGTCTCACGTCGCTGGAAATTCGTGCCTCCTGTCAGTGGGGGGTACCTGTCTGCCTCCATGTGGCCTCTCATCTTCTAGGGTGTCTTTCTACACCTGTATTCACCAAAACAGCTTCTTTACATGGTCTTCTTAATGTGGCAGCTGGGATCCGAAAGAGAAAGCCAGCGAGAAGGTGCATCCAAGAAGGAAGCTGATCTTTTTTAAACCTAATTTCAGAAATGACATCCCAGTATTTCTGCCGTATTATTCATTAGCAGTGAGTCATTATCTCTTGCCCAAATTCAAGAGAATAGGATTATACACGCATGTTAATTCCACAAGGTGGGATCACTGGATCCCACATCAGAGGCTGCCTACCTCAGTGAGGCACTATCTGTTAATTAAGATAAATATGAACTATTGCTGTATTCCTTCATATATTTGAGTCTCTCCAAGGTCAAGTCTACTGTCATTATCTAAAGGCTCATGTTAAATCAAATGAATTTCTTAAAGAAGCAAAACACAATTAATATATTGTTTATTTGTCCAAAGACTACTATAAACTTTGGTTAGAGAAATATTTATTAACCATCAACCAAAGGAATCCTGTTATGCAGGATTATTTATTAACTAGCTAGATTAGGTTAGCTTAGTTTCTGGCTCCACCATGGTCAGAAGCCATGAATTGGTGTTCAGAATTCTGAAGTCACTGTTCATATGCTACAAGAACTGTCTTTTCTAAATTAGAGAAATAAGTGGAAAGCATATAAGCAATACAAAGGATATAGAGAAATGTACATTTCGGGAACAACTAGGCCACAGTTATTGAGATTGAGTGCCTAGGGCATCAAATCAGTTCCATCCTCACTTTCTTATTTATATGCCTGAAAAGTATACTCCAGACTAGTCCTGAATGAAAAAGTACATAGTTTAAAAAACAAACTGCAAAATGGTATTTATTTACATTAAAACATGAATTGCCTGTATACACACGAATAGAAGAGGAACAATCTGTTATGCACAATAACTGTAATATTTAGTACATGTTATACACAGTAGTATCTGTTAAGTCAGTGGTTTGAGTGAAAACACAGTACCAAAACATTCCGGATACAAAATAAATTACTCATTCACATATTCTAATCATACAAGACACTTAATATTTTAAAAGTTATGTACTTCAAATAACACTGGCTAAATGTACAACTAAAGTGTATTAAGTTTTTTTAGGAAAAGACTTCAGATTGTTATTCATAAATGATCCCTTTTAGGATGCATTATCTTTTAAATAAATAAACTAAATTGACTTCAAGACTATTTATAAATAGCCCACTAAAATATGATTGAACACATTCCTTCATTTTATTAAAGGTGTAGCTATATACTAGAGAATATGCTCAACTACTGCCTCCAAATTCCAACACTGTCATTCTAATTTGCAAATAGAAATTATTTAAATTCCAACTTTAGTACATGAGATTAGCTGCCTGCCCTATGTTGTCAACTGTTTCCAAAAGTATTAACAGATTAAGAGACTGTCTTGAACGTCTCAAATGTTTGAGGAATTCAAGGGTTTTTTCTATGTTTTAGGTTAAAGCTGAGCCTATATATGGAGATTTTGAGATAAACTGAACACTTTTAGAAGACCTTCACAAAGAGTTTTTCAATTCTAAAATCTATTACAGATTTATATAAAGTCCAAGAGAACATTTGGAATATTTTCATAATGCAGTGAAGAATTCATCTTTGGCATTTCTCCATTCATTCTAAAACATTTCAACAAACATTTTATACATTTATATCTACCTACTATTGACATTTTCTGTACACAAAAGTATTTGATTGAAATTTGAGTTTTAACAGCAATTTCATTGCTAATAATTTTTTTTAAGATATGAAAAGTATTAGTAACATTCAGTTTTTTACTATGAGAAGCTGAAATATTTTGATGTTGTTGAAATGAATTTGCTCAGTTTCCTTCTTCGATGACTAGCAATTCAACATCCTATCAAATTCAGCAATGGATAAAGCAGACATACTTTACATTAAAAAAACAAAAATTGTGACAAGGACATAATTTTTGAATATGAAGCATTCCTCTATTAAGGAAAATGTGTGTGTGTGTATGTGTATGTGTGTATATATATATCCATATATCTTCAAATAAAATGGGTATGACAGAAATCAAACTGTTATATTTTCTTTCTTGGTATCTGTGGTTTTTCTTAAAGGAAACAAACAACAAAAACCAACAACTCTGCTACAAATGCCGATTTGTAGAAACGTTGCCACAATGGCTTCCACATTAGATTTCCACGTTACTTCCAGTATTCACAAATTTTTTGCTCTCATCATAACCAACCTAATGTTTGAAAATAGTCCAAGTGTAATTATTTAAAAATAATAATAGAAAACAATAACACAGCTTTTATAATTGAACACATTTTCCTCATTCAAAACAAAATATGAGGAAAAATCTCAGTAAAATGGAACCAAAACCATTTAGTAGCTCAATGACATGCTATATTCCCCAGGGCTTACTGAAAATATAAACAAAGAAACCAAAATGTAAAACAAATACAGTAGGTAATTGATGCTATTTGCCAATGTTTGCAAAGGTCTTGGGTAACAAAAATGAGAGAGTAATTATGGCTCTGACATTAACACATTCTTCAAATGCAATTACCAATTTTATTCTCTAACCAAACAGAATAATGGAAATCCAAGCAGAGAATGATGTATAGGACATAAAGGAATTGGAATATAAATTGGGTATTTCTACTATATGGTGCTGAAAAACTTGAATGCCTTTAGAAATAAAATAAATTCATCTATTAAATGCATAAAACTCCTGGAGAATATAGATTACAAGAATATGACACTTAACACGATGCTGAATTTGTGAATGTAAATTTGTTATATAATATGGCAGTTACTATTATGTATGCAGCTTATGCTAATAATACTGCTATCTTCCAACCACTGTAAATACCTGACAAGATCCTTCAAGTATAGTTCAAATTATTAGTTACATGTGATAATACAAGTAATTACCAGCTCCTGCTAATACAATTTAGTAAGAACTGGAAATCTCATAATTGGCACTATTTAATGTTTCTAGAATATAATGTTAAGTGCATATGGTTATCAATCTCCAGAATTCAGAAAATATAGTTATCCATATTCTTATAAGAGAGCTGTACCTCAATTTTATCATTTTAGAGTATTTGTTAGAATAGGATCTCTCCAAAATCAAATAGGATCAATTTGGACACGTCTAATCCTAAGACAAAACGCCATGTAAAATTTTCCTGTATCTAAATGTTGCCCTCTAGGTAAATCTGTGATATTTTAGAAAGAGACTTTCTTTTGTGGAAAAAGTAATCTGATAAATGGGAAGAGATCACCAGACAAGATCACAAATAACCATTATTTCTACAGAATTCAGTTGAAGTTGGTTTTTTGTAAATGCTTATTGGGAATTTCTAAAGCACTGACTTGGAGAGGCCAAGAGCCTCCATCAATCCCTGCTTGGATGGCCACTCCCGTTACCACTGCTAGGTCAGGGTCTACAGATGTGTTGGGATCTTTTCCAAAGAACTCTTGAATGACTTGACGGATCCGAGGAATACGAGTGGAGCCCCCAACTAAAACCACCTCATCAATCTCAGTCTTTTCCAGGTGGCCTTCTTTCAATACTTGCTGAATGGGTACGAGTATTTTCTGAAACAGGTCTTCATTCAGGGTATCAAAGAGTTTACGTGATATTTCTGTTTCAAATAAAACCTGACTTTCTCCACTTTTCTTATCAGAAAGGCCGTGTCCAAACCCACTGTTCACATGATGGTCATCTGCTGAGGAAAGTTTGTCTTTTGGCAGTTCAGTGTCACTACTGTGAGGTTCCTTCCTGTCCTGTTCCTCCACCGTTAGTATTACTGACAACTGAGCAGCTTGATGAAGAGTCAGATTTAATTTGACCATTTCCACAGCTTGTCTCAATCTGTGGATCTCCTCTTTCCTAGAGGGCACAAAGCCATATGTTTGATAGATCTGTTTATATAAGTACTGAAGCAATCTCTGATTGAAGTCCTGTCCTCCAAGTTTATTGTTTCCTGAGTGAAAAATAAAAAAGTTTAATACAGTTACGCACATAGGTGTGTGTGTATACATGCATATTATGTATATGTAAAAATTATATTCTGAGAATAACAAATCCCTGTTTCATTTATCATGACAATTTTATTCATACAAAGACTGGTTAAAAAGAACTGTGTTGCTGGGCATGGTGGCTCACACCTGTAATCCTAGAACTTTGGAAGGCTGAGGTGGGAGGATTGCTTGAGACCAGGAGTTAGAGACTAGACTGGGCAACATGGCAAGACCCTGTCTCTACAAAATAAATCAATAAATAAAAATTTTAAAAATTTAAAAAAATAATAACTGGGTTAAAGCTATCTTAACCCAACTAAGTACTATTTAAAAACTAGTGCACATCAGGGTCAAAATTTTAAATTATGTAAAAGGAAGTATCTCTTCATAACATCAAATAATTTTTTAGTAAATAGAGATTAAGAATACAGATTGGCTTATAAGTAGCTATTTAAAAACACTGAATGTCATTCTCAACAGAAGAAAGTGCTTCTTATAATGAAAAAGTAGGTATTTAATCTCTTTTTTCTCTTTCATTTTTTCTTGCCTGATTAGTAGGACCTGAAAAGGTCTTTCTACTTTTCTACCTGAAAACTAGATAAATAATTTAAAAAGAAAAGAGTAATGTAATATAATTTCCTGGTATTTAACTTGATTCGAAGAAGAGAAAAAACAATGCAGAGGTTAGAATACCTATAACTTACAACTCAACTCATCAAACAGGTTGAATCCCTTAAGCTACATTCAACAAAACGAAAACCTTTAAAGAAAGGGTTTAGAATGCAAAATCCTACCATTTCCTAGGGAAAAATACAATTCGATTTTCTAAAGACATCTACTCTATAAAACATATTAAATGAAATATACTGATCACCCTTCATTTTAAATAAATTTTTCTGCCCTCTGTTTCCTTTCTTCACCATCACCATGAAAAGTCCTACTGCTCCATGAGCCGTTAACTGGGTAATGGGCAATGTATTTATTTGACTTATAGGATGCCCAGTCATTTTTTGAGATTTAACTTTTGGCAGTAAATATATACAAATGGTGGTATAAAATTACATATACAGAAAATTATCAAAATAAAGTCAAAGAATTCCGGGGGAAAAGGAGGATGCACTACACATTGGATATGTTAAAGAAAGCACTGCCCAAACCTCTTCAACTCTCCCTGCATTTTTCTGTTTTTTTTTTTTTTTTTTTTTAGTAGAGAAGGGGTTTCACCGTGTTAGCCAGGATGGTCTCGATCTCCTGACCTCGTGATCCGCCCGCCTCGGCCTCCCAAAGTGCTGGGATTACAGGCATGAGCCACGGTGCCCAGCCTCTCCCTGCATTTTTCTTACCAGACATTGCTCGGGTTAGAAACATCCCTCCTTGTTTATTCAGTAAAGACACATCTAGAGTTCCTCCGCCCAAGTCGATCACCAACACGTGGAAGACGTCAGCCTTGTGGAGGCCGTAAGCCATAGCTGCCGCTGTGGGTTCATTTATTACCCTCAAAATCTTCAGTCCTGTAAGGTTGGTTGAAGGGAAGAAAAACTCAGGAGAGGATGCGATAAAGTAATCTCTTCCCACTCACAGCATGTGTGTGTCTTCTGTGACATGAACGCCACCACTGAGTAATAATGAGAGCAGTCACAAACCCAACAGAAGCATGAAATGGGAACAGTACACACAGGCTCTTCTAAATGGTCTCTTTAAAATGATTCTGAAAGATTACAATATAAAGAAATAAAAGTCAAGGTTCAGTTGACTAAGTCATTGTACTCTTTATCTCCCAGCCTTTTCTAACATTCCTATTCTACATTGGAATATATGAGCAATAAAAATTAATCATTATGCCGAGGCAGGCGGATCACGAGGTCAGGAGATCCAGAGACCATCCTGGCTAACACGGTGAAACCCTGTCTCTACTAAAAATACAAAAAACTAGCCGGGCGTGGTGGCGGTACCTGTAGTCCCAGCTACTCGGGAGGCTGAGGCGGGAGAATAGCGGGAACCCGGGAGGCGGAGCTTGCAGTGAGCCGAGATTGCGCCACTGCACTCCAGCCTGGGCGACAGGGCGAGACTCCGCCTCACAAAAAAAAATAAATAAATAAATAAAAAAATAAATAAATAAATAAAATTAATCATTATATACTGTCACTTAAGTGCTATGGAAATTAAAGAGGCTTATGTTGAGCAGGTAAAAGATCAGGTTTCTTTGAAGGAAATTCCTGCTTTAAACTACATGCCACACTTATGAGTGGTATGGAAAGTAATATGGCATTATGTATCAGGAGCCATCACAACATTCAAACTCTAAAGAATTACTCCAAAGATCACAACACCCTTCCCTTCAGCTCTCTGATTTTACCACTTATTCTACTCTGGCCACACCGACCAGCTTCCTATCCTCTATATACCAGCAAATTCCCAGCTTATGGCTGTTGCAGTGGCCATCTCTTCTTCCTACAACACACTTTCTCCATGTGTCTGCATGGTTAACGATTTTGCTTTCTTCAAATGTGCTTAAATGTTACTTTCTCAATGAGGTTTGCCTGATCACTCTATTTAAATTCTACAAGTCGTCCATCCCCTGACCACCAAAAGCAATCTCGACCCATTAGCCTGCTCTTTTCTTCACAGTAGGTTACTTTCTGATATACATTGTATCAGTGGCTCTCAACAACGCAGGATTTTACCTCCAGAAGAAATCTGGCAACATACTGAGACATTTTTCATTGTCATCACTTGGTGGAGGAGGGTGCTGGTGAATAGAGGCTAGGGATCCTGTTAAATATTTTGTAGTTCACAGGACAATCCTCCACAATAAAGAATTATCTGGCCCAAAATATCAGTAATGTAGAGGCTGAAAACATTATTAAATTTACCTTTTATGCTCATTCTGTGTTTCCCTTTGGTAGAATATAAGTTCCATGAGAACAAAGATTTCTTTTTTTAGCAAGGCCCTCAATATTGGTTCAATGGCATTAAATGTTAAATCATTAAATGATCTACCTCAGATTTTATTTTAAAAATTATATTCACCTTAACATTAATGGAATTTAGAAGAAAGAATTCCTCACTGCTAACATGTGTCCATTTTCTCTTTGAGCCTTTGTCCTGTAGCTATCTGATTGGTTCTTATTACATACACATTTTATATTGTGCTGTAGAGCTTTCAAAATTATAAACCTGTATAAAAATCTATCTACTTTACCTACTGTGATGGTTAATATCATCATCTTGATTGGACTGATGGATGCAAAGTATTGTTCCTGGGTGTGTCTGTGAGGGTACTGCCAAAGGAGATTAATATTTGAGTCAGTGGACTGGGAGAGGCAGGCCCACCCTCAATCTGGGTGGGCACCATCTAATCAGCTGCCAGAGCATGCCTAGAATAAAAGCAGGCAGAAGAACGTGGGAGGATTAGACTGCCTGAGTCTTCCGGCCTCCATCTTTCTCCCGTGCTGGATGCTTCCTGCCCTTGAACATCGGACTCTAAGTTCTTTAGCTTCTGGACTGTTGGACCTACACCAGTGGTTTGCCAGGGGCTCTCGGGCCTTGGGCCACAGACTAAAAGCTGCACTGTTGGCTTCCCTACTTTTGAGGTTTTGGGACTCAGGCTGGCTTCCTTGCTCCTCAGCTTGCAGCCAGCCTACTGTGGGACTTCACCCTGTGATAGTGTGAGTCAATACACCTTAATAAAATCCCTTTCATATACACATATATACTATTAGTCCTGTCCCTCTAGAGAACCCTAATACACCTACCATATAGTTTGTTTATTTTGACTATCGTGTGGTTTGGGAGGTGGTAAATCTTACTACAGAAGGTTTTCAACCCAACACAATTTTGAGAAAAATGCATCTCAGTCAAGGGTACTGTTACCTGCAAGGTTAGCAGCTTCAATTGTTGAATTTCTCTGTTTTAGATCAAATTCTGCTGGTACAGAAATGACAGCATTGGCAACTGGCATTCCAAGATAGGCCTCTGCCATTTCCTTTAACTTCAACAATAGTCGAGAGCCAACATATTCTGGGGACACCGTGATGGTCTCATTACTTGTCACAGAAAACTCAACCATTCCATTTTTGTTTAAAACCTGTGAACAGGATTTGCAAATAAGTAAATAAAAGAGTAAAAGTATATATACATATATATGTGTATATATATATACAAACAGACATACATATATACATAAATGCTAGACTTCCTGAGAACTTACCTTTATCTTTACAAAATAAAAAAAATGCATTTGTAATCTATCCAGTACATTCACCAACATTAGAACTTGTTAAATGTTATACATTCAAATTTATACTATGAACACATATTAGTTTTACTTTTTTTTTTTGAGATGGAGTCTTGCTCTGTTGCCCAGGCTGGAGTGTGGTGGCATGATCTCGGCTGACCACAGCCTCTGCCTCCCGGGTTCAAGCAATTCTCCTGCCTCAGCCTCCCGAGTGGCTGGGGCTACAGGTGCGTGCCACCATGCCTGGCTAATTTTTGTATTTTTAGTAGAGACGGGGTTTCACTATGTTGGCCAGGTTGGTCTTGAACTCCTGACCTTGTGATCCGCCCGCCTGAGCCTCCCAAAGTGCTGGGATTACAGGTGAAAGCCACTGCGCTTGGCCCACAATAGCTTTTAATAACAGCAGAATAAAATTCATCACCAAGCACATGACTAGAACACAAAAGATTCTCAGTATATGTTTTCTGAATAAAGAAAAAATAAATGATGAAATGTAAGAAATGAAGGTTGCTCATTCAAGTATGTAACTCAGAATCTTCTCCCTTTTTTCCCCAAATTTCTTGTTTCTAAGAGTAATGGATAGCTGAAATAATTTTCTAGTACATATTAACAAGAATAATTTTAGTATATCATTATGTACTTATCTAAGAATCAAATCTCATTTACATTCTTGTTTCCCATGAAAACATGTATTGTGCATTAGCTCATTATCCCCGATAATGTGGGTATACATTTAAAAAACTATTTTAACTCTAAACAATACTATCCTAGTTTTACCGAGGTTGTATTAATATAAATACAAAAGATAACTAATCTACGAAATTACAAGAATGTTTTCTCACTTTAGGTCTCATGGTTAGGTTTCCATCATGAAAAACTGACCTTCCAAAAAGTACTTCACTAGTCTGGGGAAAACATAAAAAAAGCTATCTGGACAATATTAAACTACGAAACAAACATACCAGAACCATCAGTGCCCAGATGAAACAAAAATAATAACAAAAAAATCAGGTCACTTAGAAACTTTAAATAGTTTTGAGGTCAATAAGTAATGTACCCAAAGCTGTAATTCAGAGGACATACACAGCTTTAGATGACTTTTTCATTAAAGATTGTAAGTCAATAAAGAATCCCAAAAAAGAAGTCAAAAAACAACAAAGTAATAAACCTAAGAAATGCAGGGAGCAATTTTTTTTTCTTTGAAAACGAATGAAAAATTTGAAAATTTTTATGAATAGGTTTATTCAATAAGCATACAACTATTTTGAAACTAATTCATGGCCGGCATGGTAAAATCCCGTCTCTACTAAAAATACAAAAGTTAGCCAGGCGTGGTGGCGCATGCCTGTAATCCCAGCTCGGGAGGCTGAGGGAGGAGAATCACTTGAACCTGGGAGGCAGAGGTTGCAGTGAGCCAAGATCATGCCATTGCATTCCAGCCTGAGAGACGGAATAAGACTCCGTCTCAAAAACAAACAAACAAACAAAAAACTAATTTATTTAGAATTTCACTTCATAACTTCCAAGAAAAACTTCACATGGAAAAAAACTTTAAATGTTTAAAAGAAAAAAACAAAAGCAGCAAAATCCAAACCAACAAACACTCACATAAAAGTATTAAGAGGAAAAAAAAAAAGTTCCAGTGGATAGGATGGGATAGGCTACAGTAAACATGGTAAAAGTCTAAAATCAAAAATTTAAACTTTGACATCCAGCTCAAAAACATCAGTGGAAAAAAAAGGTAAGGAAAAGATAACAAAAACATATGATGAAAGTCTTTTATAGTCACTAAGGAAAAGAAAAACACACCAAAACAAAAAAGCAAAAGAACAAAAAATGGACCACAAAATTAAAATATCAATAAAATTCTAAAAATTCTGATCTCACGAAAAAAACAAAAGAAATGAAAATTAATACAGGATACTATTTTTCACTTATCTGACTATTAAAGATTAAAAAAATAACTAGTGAAGATACAGTCACTCTAAAAAATTACGGTTAAAAGCATATAACCTTTCTGGTGAGCAAACCGGCAATATAAATCAAATGCCTTAAAAACATGCACACATTTGACCTATCAATTCAACTTCTAGTATTCAAGTTAGGAAACTTTCAGAGAAGTGTACAAAGATAAGTGTGTAAGGATATTACCTGAATCTCCAACCTTAGTGAAAAACCACAAAAAGGTACACTGACAGAGACTAGTCTAATTAATAATGGGATAGTCATTCCACAAAATCATTAAAGATAATGATGTGAACCTATTAATTATCCATGACATATTAAATAGCATAAAATGGCACACCTGGTATGTTCTCTTTATATGTATACAAATATGTACACATACACACACAGAATATCTACGGTACACAGGGCTTCATCAACCTTCCTGCTACCTCGAAAGAGCTAAGCAAGACATGCTGAGGATGGGAGAGCAAGAAAATGGCAAGGCCTTAAGTACCTGTTAGCATTATGGAGTCAGTGATTAGCTCATCCTAGAGCTGCTGTGGAATTTCTTGTTATGTGAGATAACAGAACTGTCATGTATTAATAGATTCAGCTAGATGAGATAGAATGTTTTGTGACATGAAATCAAAGCATTAACTAAAAGGGTACACTAAAATTAATACAGACTTTAGATTAATCACTTACCTTAAATGGGTATCTGCCAATTTCAGCCTCCAGCTCTTCTGGGGTGAAAATCTTGCCTATGAATCTTTTGGCATCATATATTGTGTTTTGAGGATTTGAATCTGCCAGCTCTACGCTTTCATATCCCACATATACATCATTGTCAGTGAAAGACACCATGCTGGGTATGCTGATATGCCCATTTTCATCTGGAATCACCTTTACTTTTCCTGTGCCAGGAAAAAACACCCCAACGGAACAATAGGTGGTGCCAAGATCAATACCAATCACTTTAGGAGTAGGCAATGGTAAATACTGTTGTGCCAAATAGCCAGCCAACAGGAGGGTCAAAACAGCCGATCCTGAAATACAGGAAAATTAAAAGATGTATTTTTTCAAACTAGTACAATGTACTAAATTACTGTAGCAAAGTCCCTCGTCGAAACAAGGCTAAAAAAAGACAAACTCCAAAAATTTTTATAGGACTATTGATAACACTCCTCTCAGACAGCAAGTTTTTCAAAATGTAAACTGGTTATAATAAAATTTAAAATGAAGTAACAACACAAACAACAACAAAAAACCCTATAACTGTATGTTTGTGTCATTCTCTAATAAATGTAATAAATGTAAAAACATTTCAATAATATTTGTGCAGATGCTGACAAGAAACATTTATCTGGAACAAAAGCCAGATATAATCTAATATTCTTGATGAATTGATATTTAGATTTTACAGTTTTATAAAAAGCTTCGACTATCATTTTTTTAAAAGCTCCATTATTAAAATCCTCACAACAAAAACTTTATTATTGTAAGGCTAAAATTCTATCTTCGTATCTCACCTCCTTTTCCCTTTCAAAAGGATGAAATGGATAAATCGGATAAAATGATATTGAAAGTTCCTTAGATATGAAACTGTCACTTCATAACAGAATATAGTTAACTTTTTAAGTATTTAAGTATGAACTAGGGACATCCTCCTTGCAGTGGTAATATTTACAGGAGAAGCAGCATAAAAGTGGGCAACCCTGATGGCAATATCTATGAAAGCTTCCTGAAGACAAGTTTTGTTCACTGTTGTATCCCCCAGACCCGGAATAGCAGATGCCCAACAAATACTAATTAAAAAAAAAAGAAGAAGAAAAGAGTAGGAACAAATGCCACGCAGATTGTAAACATAAGTGAAGAAGGATGCCCCTTTGGTTTTTAGTTAATCTCGTATTTGGTATCAGGAGGCTATGTTATACACCTGTGTCCACTCATATTACATATGACCCAAAATGTCAATTGTCAGGCTTCTGTATTACTAATTGTTAGCTCATCCTCATCAACACATAACTCAAAGAAATAAAACCAAGTGCAAATCCTCCTTTCCCCTTCCAGCTACAGGCAACATTTTAGAAGCATTTCATCACCTTGGAGACGCGGGGTGGGTGTTTGTGTGGGTGGGGGATAGGTAATTCCAAACCCGATTTGATGGAAAAAGCATCGATCGAGCTATACATCAGAGTCCTGAATCCCTCCAAATTCAGCATCCGTGAGCCAACAGATCCGGATGTAGCTCCTCCCCCTTCCTCCACAAAGGGGTCCTGGAGGTGCACGTTCTCGCAGCCTTCCATAGCTTGCCCCAATTCAACAGGCAATTCAAAAACCTAGGTGCTGTTGAAAGGAACGCCTCCTTAAGCCTGATGTCCCTGGGATGGACACAGCTGGTCGCCGTCTACCCTACCTTGGCCTGCAGGGGCCGGGGCCCTCCTAGAGACGTCCCCGCCCCCATCCACTCCGAACAGCCAAAAACCGCCTCTAAGTCACCTTTCTGACTCCCCTTCCGCTGCTCCAGCTGGATCCAGGAGGTGAGTCAACCACCCCTGCCCACGCTGGCATCTTCGGATCGCCTCTACGCCCGCAAGAGCAACAAGGACCCCCAGGAACCCACCTAAGATCGTCATCTCTCTGGCCATCACAGTCCCGCCGAACAGGCTTGTGATGACTGTACCAGACGTGAGGCACCGCCCCCACTCCGCCCGGCAGTCCCGCAGCCCCCTGGGAAATGTAGTCCTCTTGCTCTGAGGCAATCGGAGAAGCTATCACTCTGACGAAAGCAAAGACTTCATCTACCGTGAGGGCGCGGGGCAAAGAGCCTCCATTCAACCGCTGCCAGTGACGACTGAGTCCCCCTCCCACGCAACGGCCGGCAGGACCAGTCAGGCTGAGCGGGAGGAGCGCCGTGGCGGGAGACTGGCGTTTATAATCAAACCTGTTGTCCCGCGGCGCTATCTCTTTAGCCCCGCCCCGCGCTTTGCATTCTGGGAAGCGTAGTTCCAGCTTTTCTCTCTCCGCGGGAGGGAATGAAATGGAGGGTGAGAACCGTTAGTTATTGCTTTCTTTGGTCGCGCACCTAATCAGGTCCAGGATTCGAGTTTGTGTTCTTTCGTTTTAATTCCTTTGAAAGCGCGTTCGTTTGCCTGAGATCTAGCTTCTAGATGGCGTTCCCATAGCCTCCCGGAGCCCCAGCCATCCTCCGTAGAAGGGTCCCTGCCGCAGTGCGGGGCCTGAGGGAAGTCGGCTCTGGCGTCCGTGCTCGCAGCCCTGGGAACAGCCCTGAAACTCCAGTGACCCTCAGTCCTCAGCCCCTTTGTTTTGGGATAAATGAATTCAAGCATTCTTCAGTCAATTCGATTTATCCAAGGGATCAGGGACACATTTTCTCTATTGCTAACACTGAAGTGGGCCATTAAAAACAAAAACAAAAAACGAAATTAAAAAGAAAACCCTTAGCTCTCTCTTCAAGTAAGTCTTAAGTGGCCAAAATTGACCTTATGGACAAGTCCTGTAACGTGACAGCCATTTTAGGACGCTTGTGACATGCTGTTCAGGTTATAGTCTGAAGTAGGATTTTTCTTGCATCTTGGTCACTGTGGGTCGCACTGAATGGCTCCTCTGAGAGTGGTTTTGTCATTTTTGCTGTTAGAGTTCACGATAACTAAGATCCTGGAGAATTGAATCCATTTCCTCAGCTTAGATATAAATCAAACCATCCCTGTTGACAACACGTCAGCCTGCTGTGGGAATACATCGCTGTTTATTTCTATCTGACTTATCAATGTGAATTTTGATTATGGAAGCTGAATTCTGGTTGATAGGGATCCATTGCAATGTTCTCTCTACTTTTGTGCATTTTTAAGTGTTTCATAATGCAAACTATAAAAAGTGTGTATCTACAATGAGTGCTGTTCAGTAAGATTCTTGTGAGGAGTGAAGAATTCAAGCACTTAGTTCTTAAGTATTACTTGTAATGGGCAATGGGCTGGAGGTGTTCCAGGCAGAGGGAACTGAGTTACCAAGAGCATAGAAGCAAGAGATCATCTATTCCATAGATTAGAAAGTGGTGGATCATAAAGCATGAGGTAGAATTCTGAGAGACAGAACTAGAGACTTAAACCAGATGAAGATTAGCCGTCTGTGGCAAGCACTGGTCATTGGGATTCTCCCTGCCACCCACTCCTTTCTCCTTGCTAACAAGATCCTGATTTGTTCAAGAAGCAGATAAAGATTATGTGATCTCAGAGTAGAAGGCCTTTAGAATTAAGATTAAACTAAATAGGTTGTATTCATTTTCTATTTCTGCCTTAACAAATTACCACAAATTTCGTGTCTTAAACCAACACAAATCTATTATTTTTGCAATTCGGTATATCAGAAATTTGGTATGCGTCTCACTTAACTAAAAGCAAGTTGTTAGCAAAGCTGCCTTCCTTTCTGGATGTTCTAGGGGAGAATCAAGTTTCCTGCTAATTTAGGTAATTGGCAGAATTCATTTTCTTGCAGTTGTAGGGTTCAGGTCTTCATTTTCTTGCTGGCTGTAACCTGAGAGCTCTTTCCAGTTTCTGAGGCCATACGCATTTCTTAGCTCAGAGACCCTCTTTCTCCGTCTTCAAAGCCAGCAAACAGTGAGTCAGATCCTTCCCAGAAGACAGCTTTTTGCATCGCTCTTTCAAATTTTAGATGTCATGTGTTTACATTGGACCTATCTGGACAATTCAACGTAATCTTCATTTCAAACCCGGTAAACTTATCATATCTGCAAAGTTCCTCTTGCTGTGTAAGGTAACTACACAGTTAGAATTCACAAGTTCTAAGAATTTGAGGAAGCTTTTATTCTGCCTACTAAAATGGTTCTGTGGCTCCTCAAATTCACATCTGTCCACATACAAAATGCAACATCTGCCAAAGTTCCATCCCATTATAGCATGAACTCAAAGTCCAAAAAGTTCATCTATACTTCATTAATTCAAAAGTTTCACATCTCATTATCTAAATCAACTACATCGTGTAGTAACTAATACCACTTATCCCTTCTTGTTTGTTTACAATCAGGGGAACAATGAAATACTTAGATAAGAATGCTAGTGAGACTATTCCAGTGATGTTATAAAGAACAGAAAAGCCAAGGCATTGGGGTTGGGAAATAATCGTTGTTATCATTCTCCAATGGTGACCAATTAATTTGTTGTTTTTACAGTTATTGCTTGGTGTTTTATGTTACAATCCATTGCAATTATTATCCTTCTTGATACTTAGATTGTTTTAATTTTGGCCGATGGCAGCCTCTTCAAAATTCACTCATGAATGCTTTTGACACAATCACTTTACTTACTGCCTTGCTACCTGCTGTAAAAAGATATCTAACATCCTCTTATTTGTTTTTTGTTTGTTTGTTTTATTTCATACTTATAATTAACTGTGTGTCTATGGAACCCTACTTTCTTTTATTAAGAAAGTGTGGTATCTGGAGACCATAATTTGTATGCTAGGTGGTTATTATTTTAAGGGTGCCAGTTCTTTTTATATCTTTGAATTCAGTGAAATATCAAATAAAATGCCAGCAGAATATTTTATGACTTGATAAAATGACAATAAAATTTATTTGAAATATTTAAGATAAGAATTTAATGGGTATATAGTCCTTCCACATGTTAAGTGACAAAACTACAAACAATACTACAGAGGAAACAGAAAATGGACTTTAGGCTTAGCAGCACATGCTTGTAGTCCCAGCTACTCGGGAGGCGAAGGTGGAAGGAACACCTGTGCCCAGGATTTTGAATCCAGCCTAGGCAGCACAGTGAGACCCTGTTGCAAAAAACTAAATAAAAGAAATAAAAATAAAACGGACCAAAGAAGAAAGTGGCAATCTCTTCAAAATAAATGAAAGGTGTATTATTCAACAAATGTAACAGGGCAATTGGCTATTTATAACTTTGAATGTAAAAAGGGGTGTTATACCTTAACATCAGGGGTAGGAGAAGTCTTTGAAATTAAGACTTAAAACCTAGACACAAATAAGGCAAAACTAACCTGAACAGATAAATTGGATTATGTAGAATTTAAGATTATCTAGCAGGCAGAATTACCTATTTGAATTTATATGAAGTCAAAAGACAAATGACAAACTGAAGAATTACTAAACATACATGATGTACAAGAGATTTAATTCCTTACTTTATGGAGAATTCCTTCAGAGTATAAAGATATACAACTCAATTGAAAAATAAGAAAGGACGTAAATGGACAGTAGAAAATAAAATAAAAGTAACCAACAAACATGAAAATAAATTCTACCTTAGTCACATTTAAATAAACATAAATCAGAATAATACCATGTCATTTCTACCTATCTGTAATCAATTGAATTGTGGTCGGCCTCCAAAAAAGATATACTGGAGTGCTAAACCCCTGTACCTCAGAATATGACCTTATTTGGAAATAAAGTTGTTGGACATATAATCAGATAATATGAGGTCACACAGGAATAGAGTAGTCTCTTAATCCAATATTACTGGTATCCTTCTAAGAAAAGGGCCATATAAAGGCACAGAAACACAAGGAGAATGCTATGTGATGACCAAGGCTGTGATTAGAGTTATGTAGCTACAAGCCAATGAATGTCAAAGTTTGTCTACAAACCAGCAGAGCTACGAAGAGACAATAAAGGATTCTCCTGCATGTTTTAGAGGGAACATGCCCAACTCATATTTTGATTTTGGACTTCTAATCTCCAAAACTATGAGACAATAACATTTCATTGTTTTAAAGTCATGCAGTTTGTGATAATTTGTTATGGCAACCCTAGGAAACTATATACTATCTTACTGGAAAATATTTAAATAATGATAAGCAGTGCTAGTGAATGTGCCTGTTGCTCATGATAGGCCTGTTTGTGGAGTACATTTTGAAAGGGTAATATTGATTAAAATGCAGGGCACATAGACTTGCATTTATAGCCATGATTATAATGAATGGAATTACCCTTGCTCCACAGAGAAAGAGATGGAAAACAGCACAAAATTAGATGAAATAATAGTTTCAGACTTTGGAAAATAGGCAGAGAAACACTGTGATCCCTGAGAAAAAAAGAGATAAACCCCGTAAAATGTATAGTCATCCTGTATTTTTATTGAGAAAAACACTTGCAAGACCACAGTGTAGAGGAAAGTCCCAAGTAGAGTATATGGCCTTGCCTTGTAGAGAAGACACATATCAGAGTTCAGGAGTTTTGGAAGGAGGCTGAGGTTGCAGCAAAGGGCTCTGAAGAGGTAAGCGCTATGCAGAACACCAGAAATCCTCAAGATATTGGGATACCTTTACTTCACACCATACACAAAAATTAACTTGAAATTAGTCGTAGATCTAAATGTAAGACCTCAAAGCTCAAACTACAAATTTGTGGGGAAAAAGCATGGGAGAAGATATTTGTGATCTTCTTGTAGGTAAAGATTCCCTACATGTGAAACAGAAAGCATGAATCATAAAAAAGTTGATAAATAGGATGTCATTAACATTAAAAATCTCTATTCTTACACACCATCAAAAAATGAAAAGTCAACTCATGAACTGAGAAAATATAGTATATATATCTAACAAAAGACTTGTATCTAGAGTTTATGAGTAATTCTTACAACTAAATAACAATATAACAGAAAATACCTAATTAAAATTTGGTCATAAGATTGTAATAAACATTTCATAAAAGAAAATATACTAA